GTCGGGCTCCTCCGCCAGCGACCCCGGGGTCGCAGCGTCCCGAACCCGCTCTGGCGGAGCCAAGATTCTCCTGGAATGGTCCGTACATCGGTCCTTAAGTGTGGACCATCGGTGGCGTCCTGTATCGGCTCAGCTGAGTATTTCTAATGCACTAAAGTTGGAGAAACGCAGAACGATTCTGAAGAACAAAAGGGAAGTCCTTATGCAGATCGGCCTTAAGGCGAAAGGGCCTGGGGTGGCAGCTAGGAATTAGCATTTCTGTTCACTTGCGTACTAGGTTTGTTTCATTCAGTTTTTAATGGCCTGCATACTGTTACGATATAGACTAGTTGTGACCATGAGAGTTTTGTGTAACCGTGGCCAATACAGGCCCTGGGCCGCGTAGGTGCTTTGAGGTTGAAGGGATTTGAATCAAAAACCTTACATCGTCACACGGACACCTGAGCCGAACAAATCATGGGAAATGTGGCCTCCTGCTTTTTATCTCGGAGTTGGCATTTCCTCCGAGGCCTCCCTCGATGTTTTTCTTGGGCATAGGTCTTGGAGTCCCCTTTCCTTACCAACAGACATTGTAGGCGCCCGTTGCGACCCAGGGCATTGTTCCCACAGCTGCCCTGTTGCAAGAGCGGGGGAGGGGTGCCGGCAGCCGCTTTCCAGGTGGATGAGATCGGACAGGCCGGCCCCGTGCCTAACTACCCCCAGGTGCATTGGAGGTGCCTTTTTTTGCTAACCCAGTGAACACTGCTTGTCACTTGACAGTGAGTGGCTGCTTCAGGTACACGAAGCATCATCCGGCTAGTCCTCTGCAGGCTCGTTAATCTGGAACTCTTCCTGCCCTGTCCACACCTCTCCACCGCTACTCCTAAATCCCTCTCAAACGTCAAGTCCCGATATAAGTTACTAGCCTCACTTCTCTCTCAGAGCTTCCTTACCTTTTTCTTGCACCGAGCAACACTTAGGGGTCAAAAGGGCAGCGACTGTATCTGTTCCCCCCTCGCTCTCTCAGTGCCCAGCCGTGTCTGAGCGTCCATATTCCAGTTGTCCACTCAACTGTATGCCTTCTCAGTGGCACATTGTTGGGTAGAGTTAGGTTGAAGATTCTGCTCTCAGCTTACAGTCCAGCGAGTACTAATGAATGTTCAAACTGTTGTGCAAATGCACTGGCAGTGGGAGTGTATTAAGGGCTCTATGTGTAGGTGTTGACATCTGTGAAAGAGAGACTTGGCCTAGCGCGGTGTACCCACTGACAAACACTACGATTTGAGGTCTCCTTGGGCGGGGAGCATTACTGGGATTCCAGCCTTGTCTCTGCTCGCCAGAGTCTGTATGTTCAGTTCAGTTCTGATTGAACATAGATGCAGGCACCTTTAGGACGGTCAGAAGTCTCCCTGAGCTCCAACCAAGTGCTTTTTTCTCTGCCTACCTGATTGTTAACTCTTGCACTTGGAAACTTGAGCATCACTGCAGGTGTGGCAGAGACGCTGGATTTTTATTTCAAGCCCTGAATGTCTGCATTCTCTTCAACTTAGTGAAATACAGCTGGAGAAGGCATGTGACTAGAGTGCCTGAGAGGGAATTTGTCCATAGCACTGTGACAAGGTCAGACATCTGGAAGGCTGAAGTAGGAGAACCATTAGGAGGAAATAGAAACCGAAAGCCAGCCCCAAATCAGCTTAAAGGCAGAGTTGCTAAAGCAGCACATAGTGGCACATACCTGTAATTCCACACTAGGGGAGGCTGAGGCAGAAGAGTCCTAGCCTGAGCACTTAGTGAGACCCTTGTCTCAAAAAAGATAAAATTTTTTATGGATATAATACGAAGGAATGTATAACCAAAAAAAAAAAAAGAAAGAAAGAAAAGAAAAGAAAAAGCTGGGATGGGATGTAGTCAGTGCTATTGCCCTGGGTTCAATCCTTAGTCCCACCAAGGGAGAGGGGACTTGGGTGTAACGCAGACATAAAGGGTTTTGTGAACATTTGATAGAGAGCCGTACTGTGTTGTAATCTTAGACTGAGCCGACCTGGTTTCACTGTACTCTGCAACCCTCTGTGCTCTCTGGTTACCCTCATGGTCTGCCTTTGCAAAGAGGCAGCCCCGTGATGGCCATGAGATTCTGCTTGGCACCCCTACCTCGTCACCTTTCCTCTCTAGAGCCCACCGTGCCCATCACAGTCCCGCCGGTCTCCCTTCAGACACTTTGTGATTGGTATCACATTTGTGGAACCTTTTGCTTTCAGATCTGGGTCTGCCTTCATAATCCGGTCTCAGCATTCAACTGTCACCTCTTCCTGGAAGCGTCACCTGATTACCCCTGCCAGTCTGTCTTGTTTCGTGTATTTAATCACTATATGAGATTAACATGTTTTACTCTACTCTAGAATGTAGCATTATGAGCACTGTGGCTTTGTCTCTCTTCCATTTTACCCTCAGAGGTGAATGAATAGGGTCATCTCCTAGTCTAGTGTGGAATTTACCTGGCAGCATTGATGTCGAGTTTAATGAGACAGTAAAGCAATCAAGTTTGCAGAAGATTGCCTTTGATTATATATCCTGGGTTCTGGCAGATTTTGTTAATCCTGCCTTAAATTTTTAGCAGATTGGAGCCAGGTGTGATGGTGCAGACCTGTAGTTCAGCTATTTAAGAGGCTGAGTTGGAAAAATCACTTGAGCTACAAGTTTGAGACAAGCTTGGGCAACATAGACCCCCATCTCAAAAAAAAAAAAAATTGTAGCTAGGTGTGGTGCTACATGCCTGTAATCCCAGCACTGAGAAGGCTGAGGCACGAGGATCCCTTAGTTTAAGGCCAGCCTGAACAATATAGTATGAGTTGAAAGCCAGCCTGAATTATATGGTAAGACCCTGTCTCAAAACGAAAAAAAAAATTTTTTTTAAGGTGCCCAGAGTTTTTTCATGCCTTATGACTCATTCCATGTACTGTATCTCAGTATCAGCACCTGCCTAGGCTTCAGGGTAGAAAGTGTCATCTTTTGCTTCTCCGAATTTAGTAAATCACCAGATCATACTGATCCACCTCTGAATCATCTGAATTCATTCTCATTTGCCTCAGTCAGGCCTTCACATCTCTTGCCTTTAGTCATCTATGGTTTACTTTTTTTCTTATCACTTCATCTAAAAGGACAACACAAAATAAAAGCCATCTTGTTCATGATATACCAAGGTTATTTTTCTGAAAGTTGGATTTGGTCTTCTTGGGACCCCATTGTACCTCTGGCTCAGCCTGGGGTTGTAGCTTGGTAGCAGAACTTCTGCCTAGCCTGTGAGAGGCCATGGGTTCAACCCCAAATAATAAAAACATTGTTAAAATCATTTCTCCCTACTGCTTAGAAAGTCTGTTAGATTTTTATTCTCCCAAGTGCATCATAAATTTTAAGGCTTAAGGACATGAAATAATCCTCCCCTTATCTGCAAGTGCTCTTTCCAGGCTGATGTTGGAGGTGGACTCTGAGGTCTTACCAGCCCTCTTCTTGGGTTGTAACCAGCTGCTCTCAGCCTCATTTTCCCATAGTGCTTTGCTTTCGCCTCTCCTGGTTGCAGTTCCACTTATCATGTATTTCATATGTGCTAAACATTGTAAGAAGAGTCTGCTGTGTGTGTGTGTGTGTGTGTGTGTGTGTGTGTGTGTGTGTGTGTATTCCATTCTCCCAATGATCCTAGAAGTAGCTACTGCTATCTTCATTTCTTTTTTTGGTATTGAGGGTCAAACTCAGGACCTTGTGCTTGTGAGGCAGGTAGCAGAACCACTGAGCTAAATCCCTAGCCCCTGTTCTCATTTCACAGAGGAGAAAACTGAGCTTCAGGAAACCCTACCAAGATCCCTCAGTGGCAGGAGCTAAAATTTGGACCCTCGGCCATAATGTCTTTCTCTGTATATAACTGAGAAATGTAGTTTGGCATTTATTTCTGATGTTGGATCTGTTTGTTCTTCTCAGTCCCTCTCTATTCCCAGTCACAATTTTTTCTGTCCTAGATGGGCTTAGTGCTTTTTTTTTTTTTTTCTTTCTTTCTCTTTTGGTGCCTGGGATCGAACTCGGGACCTTGCGCTTATGAGGCAGGCAGCAGCACCGCTGAGGCATAGTGTTTGAATTAGAAGTAGGGAATAAGTTGTTTTAACCCATTGTTCATTGATGTCTTTTTAAAAGTTGATCCTCATTTGTCATCTTGTCTCCACGATGCATGACGGAGGTTCTCTGTGTGTCTTGTTCTAGCTTTTGCTCTGCATGCCTGCAGGAATGTCTGAAGCCGAAGAAACCTGTTTGTGGCGTGTGTCGCAGCGCTCTGGCACCTGGCGTCCGAGCTGTGGAGCTCGAGCGGCAGATCGAGAGCACAGAGACTTCTTGCCATGGCTGCCGTAAGAACGTATGTGCGAGTAACGTAAAGAGTCCGTGTCTGTCCCAGGAGAGAGGGGTGAAGCGTAAAGCTGTTGCCACATCGTTTCTGAAGTTAGAGCACGCCTAGGTGACTAACAGCACTTGTGCATGCCAGGCATCTGTGGTGATGGCCGTGCTGTTTTCATTTTTATAAACTTACTGTTTTTGGGGTTTTTTATGAGTTGGTTTAGGTTATTGTATATTTTGACTTTTAAAGCCATACAAATCACTTATCTCAGGTTTTTCCTATAATAGACCCAGTTTCCAAAATGCCATGATTTTTTAAAAATACAAAGTCAATGACTCAAAAGTTATCTGCTGCAATGAGTATGATGGGAAACTTCATAATGTGCATCATAAAATTTAATGATTCAAGCCAGGCATGCATAGTGGCACACACCTGTAATCCCAGCACTGGAGAGGCTGAGGGCGGAGGACTTTGAGTTCAAGGCCAGCCTGGGCTACATAGTTCAAGACCAGGCTGGATTCATTGCAACCCTGTTTCAAAAAACCACACAAGGGCTGGGGATTTAGCTGAGTGTTTCCACCATAGGCGTAAGGTCCCCAGTTCAATCCCCAGTATCAAAAGAAGAAACACACAAAAGAATTTTTTTAATGGTTCAACTTTTTAGCACTTGACGGGAAGGACCTGTGATACAAGGTTAATAATGTTAAATAGCAATATGTGATATTTGGAAAGTATCCATATGTAACCACATTAGAGTTGAGTACAACTGCTGCTAGAAAAGGAAATTACTACTGCCTTATTCTTCAAGAAATGTACATGGCCTTACTGACTTTTCAGTTGTGACAGTTTTATTCTAGGCAGTACAAAAATGTACTGTCAGCTTGTTCTCCAGGGATGATCACTTCAAAAGTGGTTCCATTTAGAAGGCTGCCTCGAATTTTCTAGTCTTTAGCAAACACAGATATAATTTTTTTAAAAGCCAAATAGTATCTTTTGGTTTTTTGTTTGTTTGTTTGAGACAGGGTCTTGCTATATAGTTCATGCTGGCCTTGAACTCACTGTGTAGCCAAGGCTAGCCTGGAATTTGTAGCATTCTTCCTGCCTCAGCCTCCCTAGAGCTGGGATTGTAGGCAACCACCCCCAACCTAATGGGATCACATTATAATACATACTTCTTCACCTTTTTGCACTTTTGAAGATTTTTTTCTCGCTGAGTTATTGGATAGCCTTAGGTGTCACTTTCATTATTTTTAATACTGCTGTGTTGGGTGGCCATAGTGCAGATATGCTTTGCCATCTCCTTTTCACAGTGATTTAGTGTTGTGGGCACACAGCAGTTATTACTGTATTAGTGCTGTATAAGGTGGTTTCCATCCTCTTTAATTGGGGGTACCTTGCTTGGCAGCTTAAGGGCAACAAGTTCTTGAGCTGGAGGTAAGACACAGTATCAAGGTAAGCCAGAGCTCAGATACTGGATTTTTTTTTTCCTTATAGTTTCCTTTAACTTAGAAATTTAAGATAGTAAAGTAAAAGTTCCCATTATCTAATCTTTCATGCGTGCATAGTGTCCCCCCACCAATGTTTGTTTTCTCCATTTTAAAGCTTAGTAATTCTACCTTAGACACACCTCCCAAAATTACTTTCTCCCCTATCTTCATTCCTTACACTTTTTTCTTTAAAAAAGCCTAAGATGTGAAGAGAACACAGCATATCTGGACTCAAAATGTAACTTAGCAGTGGAGCTAGTCTAGCGTGTCTGACCTGAGTTCTGTCCCCAGTACAGCAAGAAACAGTGTTAGAGCACATGCTTTGCATGTGTGAGGCCCTGAGTTCAGTCTCCAACTTAACAGAGTGAGACAGACAGACCAGACAAGGTATTGCTCACTTATACTCGCAGAATTTTGGGAGGCTGAGGCAGGAAGATCACAAGTTTGAGCCCAGCCCGGGCAACTTAGCAAAACCCTGTCTCAAAACATAAAGGAGAGTGGTGGTAAGGGTTGTAGCTCAGTATGAAAGCCCTGGACTCAGACCCCAGCACTGCATCAAACAAGAGAGAACACTGTGGTGAAGCACTCCTTTTTTTTCTCTCCATGTTACTTACTGTTGCACATCCTAGATTTTATGTGAACTAATTCAGATTTCAGTTTTTTCAAGATCATTTCTCATACCCTGCGTGGTAGCACACACCTGTAATCCCAGTTACTCGGGAGGCTGAGACAGGTTGCACATTCAAGTCAGCCTGGGCAACTGTCTACAGATAAAAGGTTTTGAAAGGCTGGGGCTGGGGCTCAGTGGTAGAACATTTGATTGGCAGGTGTGATGCCCTGGGTTCATTCTCTGGCACCCCCTTGATTGATGATAACCTGATTAGTACTTAGTCAGGGTTACTAACCGGGTCCTTTTTGACCCGTGATCAGTTGTCAGTGCTGGACCTGGTGGAATGTGGCTTGCTGGAAGAAGCGCTGTCTGTGAGATAGCAAGCTTAAAACAGCTCTGGATTTGGAGATTATCTGTAAGCAGAGAGGGAGGCCGTGAGTAAAATAGCCCTCTGGGAGAATTATTTTATAGTGGAAGTAGATGCTGTGATTTGGCCAACTAAAGTGTCAGCCTTGCTATTAATGAAAAATGTAGTCGTCAGGGTCTTGCCCCGTTGGCATAGTTAGGAGCGTGGTGATGACTCACTGCAGTGATGTAGGTTACTCTTGCTTTAAGACACTGCCTCGTACAAGACTTTCACTGATTTGTGGATTCTGATTCTTCTTTTTTTAAGTTCTTACTGTCTAAGATCCGGGCCCATGTGGGCACCTGCTCCAAATACCAGAATTATATCATGGAAGGTGTGAAGGCCACCACTAAGGATGCATCTCTTCAGCCAAGGTAAATGACTCAGTCACACCCTTAGCTGGAGTTCATTTTCTGCTACAGAGATGTTGAGCACCACCTGCTCCTCCAGTGTTTGGGTGAATGGATTTGGACAGGTGGAGGCATAAATGTTACTGCCGGTCAAAGTGTAGTAGTACAGATATTTTGGCGGGAGGGGCCCTGTGATGTTTATTCTGGATTTGGGCAGTGCTGTTCTTTTCCATACACAACCTGATTATCGCAGTAATGAGAACCCTCATTGTGCTCTGGGTGGAGTGGCTTGGGACAGGGCTTGGGAACACAGTCCCAGAGGGGCTTGTCTTTTCTCCCGCCTGTCGTCTTCCAGGAACATCCCAAACCGTTACACCTTTCCTTGTCCTTACTGTCCTGAGAAGAACTTCGATCAGGAAGGACTTGTGGAGCACTGCAAGTTATCTCACAGCACGGACACCAAATCTGTGGTAAGAGTAAGCTTTTTTTAATAGGAAAAAAAAATCAGGGCTGGGGATTTAGCTCAGTGGTTCCGCCACCAGCCTCACAAGCACAAGGACCCAAGTTTGAGCCCCGGTACCCAAAAACAAAAAAATAAAAAAGGAAAAAAATCAAATTTAGAGAAAAATTATAGGATCAGTACAGTGAACTCATGTGTACTCTTGATCTAGATTCACAAATTAATTTGCTATATTGGCTTGACTGGATTCTTATTGGTTATACACACTTTTTACTGCGGCACTGGGGGATCGAACTCCGGACCTTGCGCTTATGAGGCAGGCACACTGCCGCTGAGCTATATCCCCAAGAGTGTGCACACTTTTTACCAAATAGTTTGGTGTAAGTTACAGAGACCTTGGCCCTTTGTCCTCTAAATACTTCAGTGTATATATTAAGAATATTTTCTTTTTTTATGTGTAGCAGGACGTTTATTGGTACATTTTAGGCATACGTACACTTGGTCTTAGCCAAAGGCTGAGAAGTGATTCATTTTAGGCATATGTAACACTCACCATAGGGAATTTCCACCTCTCTTCCATGCCTTTCTTCCCTTCCCTTCCCTACATACAAAACTTTGTTTTCATTTTTTCCTTCCATGTTCTCTTTTTTCTTGTCGTTTCCTTTCCCCAGTCCCTTGTTCCCCTTCCTATTTGAACACTTTCTTCACATTTCCCAGTATCTATTATACATTTTAGTCTTTATTTATCACAGTAGAGAAACAGTGCAGTATTTAAACGTGTCTTGATTTATTTCACTTAAAAGCATGGTCTCAGGGTGCATCCATTTAGCTAGAGATGTCTTAAGCTTATCCTTTATGCAGAATAGTACTCCATTGTACAAAAAAGCCCACATCTTCTATCCATTTATTGGTTGATGGGCATTTTGGCTGTTTCCAGGATTTAGCTATTACAAATTATGCCACTATAAACATGGATGTGCATATATTGCTGTGGCATGATGCTTCGAGTAGGAAAAATTTATTGAGAGAAAGGTTCTGTCTAAGAGAGACAGAATGGGGACAGGAAAGTATGTGGCCTCGTGCTTTTAATTCTTTTGGGAAGATACCAAGAAGGGGAATACCTGGGTCAAATGGAACCTCCGTAGTTTTTTGAGGACTCTCCACACTGGTTTCCATAGAGCTTGCACCAGTCTACGCTCCACCAACAGTCGAGAAGCGTTCTTTTTTCCCCCATAGCCTCTCTAGCATTTATTCTTAGTTGGTTTATTGATGACAGCCATTCTTTCTGGAGTAAGATGGAATCTCAGCATTGTTTTTGTTTGTTTTGTTTTGTTTTGTATTTGAGACAGGATCTTGCTTTGTAGCTCAGGCTAGCCCTGAATTTACTGTTAGCCCATGCTGGCCTCAACTCAAGGTGATCCTTCTGCCTCAGTCTCCTGAGTGCTGGGATTACAGGTGTGCGCCACCATGCCCAGCTCTAGCATTGTTTCTAATTTGCATCTCTCAAATGGCCAGTGATGTTGGACGTCTTTTCATGTTTATTTGCTCTTTCTACTACTTTGTCTGAGAAGTGTATTCATTTCAGATGCCCAATTTTGGATCGGGTCCTTAAATTTGGGGGGGTCCAGGCTGGGGATTTAGCTCAGTGGTGCCGCCACCTGCCTCACAAGTGCAAGGACCTGAGTTTAATCCCCGGTACCCAAAAAAACAGACTCCCAAAATTTTTTATTTTTTATTTTTTTGGTACTGGGGATTGAACTCAGATCCTTGCACTTGTGAGGTAGGCAGCGGCACCACTGAGTTAAACCTCCAGCCCCCTGAGTTCTTTTTATATTCTAGATATTAGTCCTTTGAAGAATAGCTGGTAAAAATTTTTTCCCACACTATGGGTTGTCTCTTCAGTCTGTTGGTGGTTTCTCTTGCTGTGCAAAAGCTTTTTAATAAGAAGCGATCCCAAGAACATTTTCTTTAAAAAATCACATTTTGGAGCCATTTATGGTGGTGCACACCTGTAATCCCAGCACTTGGGAGGCTGAGGCAGTTATAGTGTGGTGCACACCTGTAATCCCAGCACTTGGGAGGCTGAGGCAGGAGGATTGCTGTGAGTTCAAGACCAGCCTGGGTTACATAGTTCCAGGTCAGTCTTAACTATGTAGTGAGATTCTATCTAAAAAAATAAATAAATAAATAAATAAAAATCACCTTTTGTGCCGTTATCACATTCAGGAAATTTAACGTGGATACACTAATATCTGATGTGGAATCCATGAGCACTTGGGAGGCTGAGGCAGGAGGATTGCTGTGAGTTCAAGACCAGCCTGGGTTACATAGTTCCAGGTCAGTCTTAACTATGTAGTGAGATTCTATCTAAAAAAATAAATAAATAAATAAATAAAAATCACCTTTTGTGCCGTTATCACATTCAGGAAATTTAACGTGGATACACTAATATCTGATGTGGAATCCATGTTTAAACTTTGACATTTATAATATCCTTCTTAGCATTTTTTCCCCTCCTGCAAAGGAGGGAGCCAGGACAGTAGGGAAGCACTGTTTTGAGGGCCACTTAAGGGGATCACGTGACATTTTTTGGTCCTTTGTTGGAGCATTAGCTTGAATTGTATGATGTGTACCAAAGAGGCTTTCTTAGTTTTGATACTCTCAGGTTGGGGATTTAGCACCATGCCTGCCTTGAAAACACAAGGTTCTGAGTTCAATCCCTGATGCGCACCCCCCACCCCACCCCACCCCTGCTGCCAAAATTAATAGATTTAAAAATTCGTTCTGGCAAGAATTGGTTGGCAGTGAATAGTCACTGTCCCCTCCCAGAGGGCTGGGCTTACGTCAAGCCTGCCTCACTCATTTGCTTTCCTAGCCTGGTTCCCGTAAGCACTGGAGTTTGCAATTTTTGTTCCTTGGCCTTATCCTTCCACCTCGTGTTGAGGAAGAAGGCTCCTTTCTTTTCTCTACCTGTGTTCTCAGGTGTAGTCAGAGAACCAAGGTGAGGGCCTGGCACCATGTGTTACATGTTCTCCCTCTCACTTTCAGCTCTGTGCTGCTCACTCGTTATCTTTTTTTCCCATCAAATATGCCCAGATCTTTTCTTTTCTACTACTTAGGAAAAAGAGAAATTTTTATTTATTTTTTTTGGTTTTTTGAGACAATGTCTTGCTCTTTAGTTCAGGCCAGTTTTGAACTCACTATGTAGCCCAAGCTGGCCTTGAACTCCGAGATCCTCCTGCTTCAGCCTTCTGAGTACCAGGATTACAGGCATGCATTAACACACCCCACTAGAAAGAATATTTGATTTAATGTTTTCTCTGGATAACATTCATTTCTCTTTACCCATTGGCTTGTGGTTTTCACTTGCTTTTTCTATCTCCATCCTCCTGCAGATGTCACATTTCCTGTGATACCAGCTCATCTTGTTGGAATCCTTGTTTTCCATCATCTCTGAAATTTTAAAAATTTGTTGCTTTGTCTGTAGTAAGTTCATTTAAAAGGGTGGGGGCAGAGATTTAGATTTAGCTCAGTGGTTCTGTCGCCTGCCTCCAAGCACAAGGCCCTGAGTTCGATCCCTGGAACAAAAAGAACAACAACAAAAAAAAACTGTAGTCAGGAATAGTGATGCACACTTTGCTACTCAGGAATCTGAGGCAGGAGGATCAAAAATTTAAGACTAGCTGAGGCAATTCGATGAGATCTGTTGAAATAGTATCCCACGATAGAGTGCAGGCTGGCCTCCAACTCGTGATCCTCCTGCCTTATCCTCCCACAGTGCTGGATTTACAGGCGTGTGCCATCATGCCTGGCTATTTTAGTGAGATCTTTTCTCAAAGTTTAAAAAGGGCTTGGAATGTAACTCACTTGGTTAACATGTTTGAGGCCCTGGATTCAATCCCCAGCAGCTCAAGAAAAAGGCCCCTCTGGCCCCTTCCCCTAAATGCTCCCTTACCTTTTTCCTTTCCACAACATTCGTTGTAGTCAGTCTTCATATTTTTGCAGTTTAATCTCTATTCACACTGGTAACTCCACCACACTGTGGTAAACCAATCAGCCTTTCGAGAGTCCCAGCACTCCGGAGGCTGAGGCAAGAGGATTGTCCAAGTTCAGAGCGAGGCCCCCGCGCAAAAAAATATCTTAAGAGTTTTTGTCACCTGTTAAGTAGAATAGTAGAATTGCGTTTATATAGGAAAATATTGTTTCACTCAGATAGGTAAGGTGAAATGTGTCATAGTTAAAAATATACCCTTGGGGGGTGTTGAGATAAATATGCTGTGCTTTCTGTGCTGGTGCATCTGTAATCCCGACACTCAGAAGGCCAAAAGGGGAGGACTGCAAGTTCAAGCCAAGCCTTGGCAACTTAGGGACTTCACAAGAGCCTGTCTCGGTAGAGACTGCGGATCTAGTTCAGTGTGAAGGCTCTGGGTTAGATCCTCAATTTAACAAAAGAGAGGGCCGGGGATTTAGCTTGGTAGTTCTGTCGCCTGCCTTGGAAGCACAGGGTCCCAAGTTCAATCCCCAGTACCACAAAAAATAAAAAAGGGTTGGGGTGGGAATTAAAAGAAGTATGCCAAATTCCATTCTAGATGTTGGAGAAATAAGGGAAGGTTTGTCAAGCTATTTCCTGCTTTTCTGTAGGTTTGACATTTTTCATAATTTAAATTGCTGTCACAAATTTTAACAGTCTTTGCCTGTGTGTTTAATTTTTTGTGCATACTGGGTGTGGTGGCGCACACTTAGGATCCCAGCGCTCTAGAGGTTGAGTTGGGGATCACTGAGTTCAAGACCAGTCTGAAATGCACAGCGAGACCTTGTCTCAAAAACAATGGAATTTTTTGTGATTATATGTGTATATATATTTAATTTCCAGTGCTGCGGACCAAACCCAGGGTCTTGCACATACTGAGCAGGGCTGTACCACTGTATCCTCAGCCTGTGTTCATAAGAGAAAGTCTTAGATACAAGTTGATTTGGGCAGAGGTTCCTTGCACTCATAATTTTGATAGCCATTACTCAGCTATTCTGCAGCCTGTTTTTTTTCCCCTCTCCTCACCCTCCTTTTCCTGTGGCTTCCTCAGATCCCTGTGATGATTTTTGTGTCACAAGGCCTTTGTCCTTCTGCTCGTGGCCCTTCGCTCTAGCTCCTCTCCCCTGGCGCCTCCTTGGGTCCCAAGCTCACAGCCCTCTCCTTTGGAGGCTGTGTCCTCCGTCTCCAGCCTTCACCTGCCTTCACCCTCCACACCTGCAGCTGCCTGCTTGCTCTTCCAGCCCGCGCCTTCTGCCATCCCAGATTGATCCCTCACTGACCCAGCTCATCACTGTGTCTCCCTTGCAGCTGGCGAGGGTCCCTCCCATGTCCAAGCACGGGCGCTGTTCCCTCTTCCTCCCTGTGTGACTCTTTCATCCTAGCTGGTCTGGCCATTTGCTTGTGCTGCCACCTGCCAGCCTCCTCTTCATGCTGCTGCCTCTGCTGGGCACCCGTCATATGTTCCTTGTCCCATCTTGAGACCCAAGCTGGCCTTTCCTGTGAGAGCCTTTGACCTGATCCCTGTCATGTGAGCATTTACTCTTCAGGATGCACATAGGCTTTGTTTTACTTCTTGGGACATCACACACTTGATTGTTGGCTTGGTTTTCCTTGTGCTTTTTGGCCATCTTTTTTGCTGGATTGCAAGGCTCTGTTCTAGGCCCCCAGTGCTCTGACCCTGTGTCTCACTCCAGTGGGTTCATAGCTTGAGCCTTTACAACTCCCCTGTGGCATTTGACTGGCATGGGAGACTGCAGTGTTTTCTGGAATGCTGATGTGCACAGGAAGGAGTGACCGGGCCCTGGACTCTAGGGTGTCAGGAAAACGGTCCTGAAACAAAAGGAGCCAGACACAGGCCACGGGAGGCTGGAGTCAGTTCAGACATCAGAAGCCTGAGATCTTGTTTCTTTGTTGAAAGGTTTGTCCAATCTGTGCCTCAATGCCTTGGGGAGACCCCAACTATCGCAGCGCCAACTTCATAGAGCACATCCAACGCCGCCACCAGTTTTCCTACGACACTTTTGTGGTGAGTCTGACCCCTCCACTGGGGAACACAGCAGCTATTCATTTTCTGAAAGCGGGTATTAGAGGTCCAAGTATTCGGCTTCGTCACTGATGCACAGACTTCCGGTCTCTGGAACAGCATCTCTGCATTGTCTGCCTTTGGGCAGCTGTGTAGCCAGAGTGCTGTAAGATGATTTGGAGCTGGTGGTGGTGGTGGACACCTGCAATCCCAGCACTCTGGGAGGCTGAGGCAAGAGGAGTGAAGGTTTGACCTCAGCCTGGAAACTTAGCAAGACCCTGTCCCATAAAAATACGGGCCGGGGATAGATACAGCCCAGTGAGAAGGCCCTCGATTCAATCCCCAGTATAGTACTTGGTGCCAGAAAATAAAATTTGGTCAGCTATCTAGACAAGACACAGTGAAACTTGCTCCTTGCTCTCCCCTCTGACTCCCGGTTTTGCCCCCATTCTTTTTGTATAATTTTTGCTTGTCACAGAACTCAGTTTGGGTGCCTCAGGCTGAGATTTCTGTGGGAGCCGGGCAAGGATTTACTAGCTGGTATAACACGGGTGATGGTTATTGTGTGGAAATACAGGCCTGGGGCTAGGGTGTGGTAGAGCCCTTACCCAGCACGCACTGGGCCATTGACAGTGCCCCCCGATGCAGAACATCGCAGGAAGTAGCGCTTGCGCTCCAGGTCAGCACACATCCCGCCAACGTGGCTGTCGGTTTTGTATTCTGTCCCTAGAGTGTACAGAGTTGAAGGGCACTGTTGTTCTGGCATTACAGAGATAAATTTGATCAACTCCTTAAAATAAACTTTACGTGTGTAGTTGTTAAGTTAGTATTTTAGAGTAGTGTTGGTTCTTGGTAGCTGTTTTTCACTCTAAAGAAGAGGAGCTTTCTCCTAAGGTGTCAAAATGTATTCTAAGTCTGACACAGTCTGAAACTCAGCATCAGGATAATTTTTTATATATTTAATGATATAAAAGTGTAATTCCTAAAAATGCCAAAGTAGATCATTTTGCCTCCTTAAAGCCGTTCTTCACTGGGTTCTGAACCGATGCTTAGGACGCCTGGGCGCTTCTGCAGGTGCATTTGCCTGTGCATCCATGAGCTGAGCATTTAGTCTGTGCCAGATGCTGCGTGCCATCTGGGCCCGCGAGCCCCGGTCGAGGAGGTGTTGTTTTCAGTTATGACGCGGCGCAGAGACACTGAGAGGTGCAGCCATGTGCCGGGTACAGTCGGCATCACAGCGGGCAGGCCGTGCTGGAGTCCCTGGCGTCTCTGTCCAGCCCGCATTGCTGGGCTGTTCGGCTCCTACTGCGTGAGTCTTTGCCACTGTGAACCCTGCTGAGGCGGTGTCCATTTTCCCCTCAGGATTACGATGTCGATGAAGAGGACATGATGAACCAGGTGTTGGAGCGCTCCATCATCGATCAGTGAGCAGCGCCTTCTGCCGTCTCATGCTGTAGAGCTTCCATTATATGTTAAAGTGTGAAACCTTTGACTCCTGCACCTTAACTGTACAACAGACCTGGAATTGAGCCATGGCATTGGGACAGAGTCGATTCTGACGGGGGCAGCGGGTCTCCAGGTGGAGCCCTTGTCCATCAGGCCCTTGCTAAAGCCGTCTTTCCTACAGTTAACCTTGTCTGTCACACCATCCAGTCTTACTGGCCCTCGGCTACTTCCGGGACCTCTGCTTCCTCTCCTGGAAGGGAATCCAGCTTCTCCGCAGCCCCGTGTTCTTGTTTCACACCACTCTCCCATGCAGTGTTCATCTCTCAGGTCCTCCGAGCCAGCCGGGACCGTTTCCACATCACGAATAGCACAATGAAGCCAGCGGCTCCTCTCCCTGCCCATGGCTGTGTGAACTCTGCCGCAGCGCATCTGTGCCCTAGCTGCTTGCCGGGTCCTAACCAGCGGCCGCTCCCCGGGAAGTGTTTGCAGCGCCCTTGTGGGTGAACATTCTGGCTGTCGTGCTCTGAGGCCGGAAGTTTCATTCGTGGTATTCTCCCGTACTCCCGCATATCCGTAGAATGAACTGGTTCATCTTAAATGCCTGCATGGTGCCTTTGTAGAATAAGGTATAACCATATATTTTTAGTGAAGTGTTTCTAGGTTAGGAGAGTTAAGATGCATTTGTTCGTAAGTGGAGTGGAGAAGGGCCAGCCAAGAGAGGTAAGGGAGTCAGCTTTGTGGTTCTGATTTTCAACTAAGGATGTATTTTCAGTCGGCCGAGTCTTGCTTACCCCGGGAGCTTGCGTACGTTCTTGTCCTAGAGCATGAGAAGGAGTCTTCAGGTGACTAAGGAGGTTTTGAGGATTTATTTTCTACTTGGTAATTTAGGTGAGCATTATTTTCCTATCACACAGGCTTTCCTTATAACACTGGTTTCCTACATGTAAATCTGTTTTAAACCCTGCCGTTCAGTGCCAGGAGAGGCTGCTGTTCACCCTGTGTCTTTTCTGAGAAGCCCTGCTGTGGATGAGCGTTAAGAATAAAGCTGACTACCGGAAACCAGCTTGGGTAGCAGCTCAGGGAGCTTGAACGTGGTCTCACACATGGTAAACAAGGCTGAGAGCTGTCGGCCTGAAGGCGTATGGGGTTGGACTTGGTTCCCCGTCGCACTTCTAGCCTGAAAGTGGCGGTGTTTTCTGACCTGCGGCTGGGGGCCGGGGCGTGGCTGCTCTGACCCTCCCTGCCCTCCAGGGTGGAACTCGCCGCAGATGCCTGGCAACCAGCGGAGGCGACCAGGCCACCTGGGGCAGTCCGGCTTGTCTGATGTTGGGGCTTCGCGAGAGGATGGTGAGGTCCGCTCCTTTCCATCCGGGGACATTGGCGCTGCCCTCCTGAGCTGAGATCACCTCAGAAGTGTGGGGGGAAGTTCGACCCGACGCATTCGGGGAGCTGGGGAGAGCACGTCCATCTTCCTGGAGGAGCCGAGAGATTTACTTGCTTGTTTTAAGTGCACTTCACGTATTTCTAAAAAGTTGACTTTCCAGAAAGTAAAATTTGTTATGTTCTGGCTTTTGAGAGGTGAAATATAAATAAATTTCATAATTTATCCAACTGGTGAACTGTAGTGGCTGTTTTCATTGAACGGCATTTCCTGAAGTTTCAGCCTGGATGCTTCCAGAAGATTCTGATTTCAAGTCCCTCCCGGTCCCTGTCCACCTGCTGCTGTCACAGCTCTGACTTCCCAGCTGCCCCGTGGGCCTGTGCCCTGGAAAGTGCCTCCAGCACCCACCCACTTGTCACACTCGGGGGGGGGGG